TCATTCCACCATGGTTTCCTTATTTTTTTTTTGTTAGTGACTTTGGTTTTGGGTATACTTATCTCGGCTCCCTTAATAATTATTTCTTCAATTTTGTTAGTTATTGTGTCGATGTTAATATGGCTTTCTTTTGTATGTTCATCTATTAGGTTGTTTAGTTCATTGATGCTATTGGATATTACGTTCCGGTATTCTGTCCAGTTAGCTTTTGTGAATTTATATGTGGAAATTTGCGTGATATTATTGTCATCCTTAGTTTTCATAATTTCTATTATTATTGGAAAGTGGTCACTATCGTACGGGTAACTGAGTGCTGACCAGTCTATGTTAGTTGCAAGGTTAGCACTGCTTAGGCTGAGGTCAATTGCACTCATTTTACCACTATGACAAATGTGTGTAGGTGATAGGTCGTTTAGTAGAACCATTTCATTGTTGTTTATTAGATCTGCTATTAGCGTACCTCTTGTATCTGTTTTATAGAAGCCCCATGATGCGTGATGACTATTAAAATCTCCGAGTATTATGTAAGGTTTAGGTATTTGTTCTATTAAGTTTTCTAATTTTTCTATGTCGAGTTTGTTTCTATTACTTAGGTAAATATTGCATATATTTATGATCTTATTATTAATTAGTATTTTGCATGCTATTGCTTCGATGTCAGTGTTAAGCTGAATTTCTTGGCTGAATATATTATTTTTTACTAGGGTAGCGACACCACCACTGGCTATTTTGCAGTCTATTCTGTTTTTAGTATAGCAAGTAAAATTCTTCACTTTAATGGTTTGGTTATTTTTAAGGTTTGTCTCTTGTAAACATATTATGTCGATTGCATGTTCAGCTATTAAGAATGATAGAAATTCATATCTGTTATTAAAGCTATTTATGTTCCATTGCATTATATTAGCCATTTCGGACGTAATTATTCGTATTCTGATTCTGTAGTTGAGTCTTTTTCGTGTTGGGAGTGATAGCTTTTAATTTTCTTTATGAGTCGCGTGCATCTACTTTTTATTTGGGCATTTCGTACATTTGGATAGATTTCTTCGTTTATAAATTTGGTAAATTCTTCTATGTTGGGTGTATATTGGAGTATAGTCTGTTCAATATTCGTATTTTTCTTTGTATTTTCCAATAGGCTTTTGAACTGGTTGTAGTTGAGGAGGGTATTTGCTCTGTTAAGGTAGTCCTTTATGTTTATTAGTTGATTGTCTAGTTCATCTCTTTCTTCTTTGTCATTGGTTTTCTTGGTGGTTTCCTTGATTGCATTTTCATTTTGTGCATCGTTTCTATGTTTTTTTAATTCCTTAATGGTTTTACTGTTAGTTTTGGGTTCTTGAAATTCATGTTTTTCGGTTTCTGAATCGTTTGAGCTAATTTGTGAGTGTGTTCTTTTATTATCTTTTGGAGTGTTGATTTGTGAGCTGAGTGGATAGTCTGTTTTGGGGTAATTTTCCTGTTGAATGGTCGTTTGGTTGTGCACATTTGTTTTATTATAATTATTGATTTCTGTATGTAACTGCGGTGTATTGGTTTGTGATGGCGTATGCGTTAAACCTGTACTGTCGGGAGTTGGGCAATTTCTCGCGATATGGCCTTCCTGTTTACAAATAAAGCATGCTAATTTATCTGAGCCTGCAAATATGTAGTACTCGAGGTCGTTAAAGTGGATTTTAAATAGCTCTGGGATAAGGTTCGCTTCGTCTTGTTTGACATATACTTGGCGTCGGAAACTGGTGATATGTTTGTAGCCTTCTTTGTTGATATTCACTTTTAATTTAGTAATTGGCGAGCAACTTTTGACTTTTAATTGATCGAGAATATTTTCTAATACGAAATTGGGGATGTCGGTGGGTACGTTTGAAAAGATGATTCTAGTATGGCGCGAAATTAATGGTCTAGTTGTTACCTCTTTGTTGTTTACGGTTATATGGCTATGGTTCGAGCAGAATTCGTTAACTAGTTCTTTACTTGATAGGTAAATACTTATTCGATTGTTGGAGATTCTTGATGCACTGATAATATTCATCGGTTTCACTATTTCGCCTACTGCGCACACATAATCGGTTAAGCTTAGATCTTCTACACAGTCAATAAGTAGGCCTTGGTCTCTTGTGACAAGATTCTTTTGCGTTGCCGCTGCATACCGTGATTCTGTTGGTAATTGTGCGATAAATGTTGGAATTTCATGCTTGGTATCTTTGGCCGGTGTAGTGGCCATATTGTTTATATAAAACTCGTGGTTTATTAAGGCAGGGGCTTAGCCGCCTTGTCCTGATATATATTATAATATTGATTAGTATCTATTGATCACACGCGGAGCGACAGTAAACACGTCTACTCACTACCGGTGATAGACTAGAACTCGATATACTAACGAGGGACTATACTAAAATAAGAAACCCTTTGTTTCTTATTTTTCCAGCAATTTCCTTGACCTCAACAGGTTTTATTAAACAAAACCAAATAACCCTCCTTTTTTCAGTTTATTAAAAATGATACGAAAAATAGCTATCTCTAATTTATTATTATGTTTTCTGTCACCTCGTTCGAATAATAGCAGTGTTTGCACTATAACCCTCGTTTGCGTATAATCATACATTGCTTGCTACATATGAGCACACAATCTAATTAATACCGAATTGTTAATCTATACATCAATGATCAACCTATATATAATTTATAGTTGGAATAATAATTTATCGATCTCATAATCAATTTATTATTACGTTACGCACAAGTTTCGATATTATGAGGGCGGGTCAATAAGTCTTCACAAAATCCAAGAGATGGCGCTCGTCACGCTTAAATTATGATGTTTTTGGCAAGCAATACTACTAACTAGATATCGTACAAAGTTTCAGCTCGATTCATTAAGTCGTATTTTTGTGAGCGTTGGTTGAACAAAAAGTTATTGGTTTATTTGCAAAATGGAAAAAAACGGAGTTTCGAGCGGTGATAAAACATTTTTATTTGAAAGGCTTTACACCAAAAGAAATTATAGTTGAGTTGAACGCCGTTCATGGCAAGTCTGCCCCTGTGCTTAAGGCTGTTTATAACTGGGTAAATGAATTTAAATGTGGCCGTACAACAACAAAATATGAACCTCGTTCAGCACGCCTTGTAGAAGTGAGTACGCCCGAAGTGGTCAATAAAATCCACGACATGGTGTTAAGTGATTGAAGATTAAAATTGCGAGAATTAGTTGAGGCCACAGGGGTATCAAAGGGTACAATCATTTCAATTTTGCATGAAAAATTGGGTATGAGAAAAATATCAGCAAGATGGGTGCGGCGTTTGCTCACTGTTGAAAACAAACGAACCCGCGTGGTCACCTCTGAGGCTCTTTTGGCACGCATACGTCGTAATCCGGAAGACTTTTGGCGTCGACTCGTAATTGTAGACGAAACATGGGTACACCACTACACTCCTGAAACCAAAGAATAGTCCAAACAATGGATTACCGTAGGAGAACCAATCCCAAAGGCAAAGACAGTAAAGTCAGCTGGCAAGATTATGGTCACGGTTTTCTGGGATGTGTATGGAATCATTTATACCGACTACTTAAAAAAGGACCAGACGATCACTGAACAATATTATGCATCATTATTAGGTTAATTGAAAGAAGAAATCAGAGAAAAACGTCCTCACTTGAACAAAAAAAATGCCTCTTTCTTCAAGACAATGCTCGAGTTCACACGTGTGCAGTTTCGATGGCAAAAATTAATGATTTAAAGTCCGAATTAATTTACCATCCACCATATTCGCCTGATTTGGCTCCCAGTGACTTTTTCTTCTTTCCTAACCTCAAAAAATAGCTTGCCGGACAACAATTCACGTCGAATGAAGAAGTCATCGCCGAAACAAATGCCTATTTTGAAAGTTTTCAGAAATCATATTTTTATAATGGCTTAAAAAAACTGGAAGGCTGTTTAATAAAATGTATCGACCTTCAAGGAGATGAAGTTGATAAATAAAAAAAATTACATACGCAAAACTTTTCATTCCTTTTTTATGTAAAGACTTATTGACCCCTCTCGTATTACACGTCATAGGCCAGCTTCCATCGCAATGTGACGTCCTGAGTGAGCTCTTATCATAACATAACGTTCTAAGCCAGAATGAACATAGCTATATTACTATTGCATAAAAAGAACAAAGTACCATAAGCTTTGTAGCATCCATCAAGTCTTGGTTTCCAATCCATGCTTTGTGGGCGGTTCGATTGGCTGGTGATTCGGTGAAAACTAGTGTTGTAAAGATTAAAGATTACTATTCAATAATAGATTCCTTATCAAGTCATGAGCAGGCCCAAATTATGGCTTGATAATCTGAGCCAGCTTCTTAGTGACCCTGGCTGTTATGAGACTCATATTTAGAGTCATTACATTCTATCGCTTATTTTTTAATCCAGGTTTTATATGGTTCCCAACAAAGCTTATATTCAGCTGTTTTTAATTTTTTATCATATTCCTAATTTTTATGAGGGAAATTTGAATTTCTTGATATAGTGTAAACTAAAATAGTCAAAAACTTTACAAAAACTCGTATATTATTACAATGACGTTACTTCTAAAACCAAAATAATTATGCTCCTTATAACAGTGTAGTTATCGTTGTAAATACATACTTATGAAATTGTTCTAAAAAAGTTATCGCCATAATTTGTTTATTTGAAAGTACTAGAAATAAACTTTAACTTTCTAGGTCGCAAGCTCAAAATCCACTTTTCAAATAACGTTATTTATTCTACTTTTAGACTCCATTTATTAAATACCGTGATGTAAAATGTTAGTTCTGCATTTTTTATATTCTGAATATTTGTAATCATAATTTGAACCATAATACTCAAACCACAGCTCGAGGAAGAAAATAAGATAAAATAGTGTAAAGGATAAAAACCAATTAAATTTTAATATAATATAAAGAAGTCTCTTTTCATATGAAAGGTCTGTGTATATCCATAAAAAATTAACAAAAAAAACAGATGGTAAGAGATCTATTTACATTGGAATTGAATAAATACGCTTATAATGAGTAAATTTTTTACTAAATCAAAAATAAAAAGATATTCATCCAGAGTAAAATTACGTATGCACAGGAGAGCGCTATCTAAAACTTGATTTTGAAGATAAATAAAAGGCCGGCCATTTGGATAAATTCCAGTAGGATGATGACAAACTACATTGACTGGTTTGGTTATCAATAAACTGTGAAGTCGTAGATACTAATCTCATTCAAAAATAACATATTGGCTTACATTGACCTTACCGTACAATGTGCTCTTTTCATTAAGCTGTAATATTAAATTAATTTACTATTAATATTATTATTAATTGTATTATTTTAACTTGCAGTGTCCGACACGTACTTTTACCCACCCTGAGGCGAAATTTGTTAAACTTTAAAGTTTTATATCTCAGTGAAAAAGAATCGTAGAATAAAAACTTGACGCCATTTTAAAGGTAATAGCAAAAACTTCAAGTAACGTGAAGATAATATTGTTTGTATTAGAATTAAGTTTTGTATGCTTAAAAAATTAATATAAAAAATTTCTTTTTTTTTTTGCCCATATACAAATTTATTTATTTGCTACGCAAATCAGCAGATCATTAAAAATCCAAGTAAAATGAAAATATGGAATGTTCCCCTTTGAAATAAGAGGAACAGAACTTATTTCTGATTTTTTTATACAGAGATATAGCTTTTTTTATAAAAAAAATCGTTTTTTTTTTCATCAACTCATATCTCGATTGCTATGCATTGAATAAAAAAAACTTTAAAGATTGTTTCTTTGTTGGTAAAAAATACAAAAATAAGTCAAAACTAAGATCTGGAACAAATTTTTTTTTTCATTTCTTTCACGCTAATCATTTTTTTATTTTTCTTAGTCTTTATTTTTTATGTATTTAATTTTGATCAAGTCTCAAAGAAATTTTTAATAATAAATTTTTAGATAAGTTTACCAAAAAATAAATAAATAAATAAATTATAACGGTGAATTTCGGCCGTACCCGTCTGGGTTACTCGCGGCCGTCCGTATAAATTATTCATTCGGGTATTCGGGAAGCAAAAGACGTTCCCACGACTGAATAACGCGTCGAGCATAAACATGTTAAACGGACAGATCCGAAATCGGGATGAGGAGTGATAATCAGGCGAATAAACACAACAGCGGATTAACACACCGGTCTTTTACTTGTCAACAATCGATTACAATACGGCAACCTCGTACTTATACACTACGAGCGGCACAATAACAACCGCGAACGCGAAGGTGAATCGGTGGCTGGTCAGCCTGCCGATTCCTTTGTTAAAATAAATGTTACAATCAATACTCGGCAAAACGCTTTTCGCCGTTAAACTATCAACGAGGTAGAGTCAGCAGGTCTGCTGTGCTACCACCCATAAGCTGGCGCCCAAACTTGCAAGAGAGAGAGAATCAAGAGAAAAACACGGCACCGACCTCGACCTACAGCCTCTCCGACGGCTAGAGCGCTCCGCAGTGTGACGTCACTGGTGTGCCGACCGTCTCGCTGATGTTTGTTGTCGTAGCTGTCTATCTTGCTCGTCCTCTCACTTGCTCCACAATATTGCTGCCTCAATCCGTTTTTTCGCTCGTTAATTGTTATTGCTGTTGCCTCCGCCGTCTCTCTATTGCTCGGTACTGCCGCACGTCAAAACTGCTCGCGCGCGCGCACCCGCGCATCTCGCCGGTTACCCTCCCGCATCGGTGCCAGGTATCTTTCGGGACAAGGCTGGGCGCGACCCAGCCTCACACTCCAATACTCGTCCGCGCATCGGGCGTGTCTCCGAAAACGAACGATCGTCGACGAGGTTGCGGGGCCAACTCCGGAAAACCGTGACCGTTCGGTTAATCCGCGCTCGCGACTTTATCTCTTCACTGCCTAGCAGCGACTCTCTCGAATTTTCCGCGGCGATCCGCAATTCGAGTGCTCTCTCTCTCTCTCTCTTTTTCTGCTTTCCTCTGCGCCATCTGCATCGCTTCAGTCGTCAGCTCAGCCCGTCTTCAGCACCTCGTAAACAAAAGATCCAAGCATGAGTGTGTGTACCAAACTCTCAGCTTGGCGCGGTACACGGACATTTGCGAGAGGCAAACGGACGAAATCGGTCTAGCCGAGATTCTCCGTTACAAAATAAATAAATAAATAAATAGAAATAAATAATTTCTAGACATTTTTATAAAGTAATACAAACTTATTATTTATTATCATATTATTTGCAACGGTAGTCGATTCGATCAATCGATACATTCGCGATTCGACATACTCAAAGTGTGAGAGCGAACGTTTAGGAAAGAGAGGGGGCGCGCGCGAGTTTAATTTTCAGTTTAGCCTCAGCTGTTGTGTAGGAAAATCGCCAAAATTTTCTATTGTGTTTTGCCGTTTTGTAGTTTATTGGTTTTGGTACGTGCGTGACTTTCAAAGTAACGAAAATATAATTTTTTATAGCATAAATGGCTAGCGAGAAAAATGAAAAAAAAAATTTGTTACAAATCTTAATATTCATTTTATATTTGTATTTTTTACTAAAAACAAAATAACTTCTGTCTTTAAAGTTTTTTTATTTAATATAGCAATCGAGATATGAGCTGGTAAAAAAAACGATTTTTTTTATAAGTAATAAAGCTATATCTTTGTATAAAAAAATCAGAAATGAGTTCTGTCACTCTTATTTCAAAGAGGACAATTTCACCTTTTAATTTTGCTTAGATTTCTAATGATCCGCTGTTTGCGTAGCAAATATATAAATTTGTATATGGGCGAAAAAAAAATGAAATTTTTTATATTCATTTTTTAAGCATAAAAAACTTAATTCTAGTACAAATAATATTATCTTCATGTTACTTAAAGTTTTTGCTATTACCTTTGAAATGATGTCAAGTTTTTATTCTACCATTCTTTATCGCTGTGATATAAAATTTTAAAGTTTGGCAAATTTCGCCTCAGGGTGGGCAAAAGTACGTGTCGGGTACTGTATATTTATTATAAATTTGTAAAACTTCACCTAATTTGAAAAAATAGATCTTTTATTCCATTAAGTTGGCGCTCTCCTAATAATCAGTCTTTTAAATACATGGAGGTGGTTCTTGTTGTGAGGGAAGGGACGTTTCAGTAAGTGCTATGGCTGTATTTGTTGCAGCATTCACATAGTTCAAAGAATCCGAAGGGTCCAATAAAGGCAATGGAGATGATAATCTGTTACCTCTTCCGCGACCTCGACCTCTTCCGCGACCTCTACTACGTCCCCTCCCCCTTCCCCGTCAACTCCTTCTTTCTGGCACTCCTATATTACTAGTAGTTTTTTCAAGAAAAGCCAAGGGACCTTGTAAATTGCTATTGTTAATACTACTGACTATAAATCCGGCTGATCTGGAAGTAGCGTTTCCTTGGCTTATATAAATATTAGGTTGAACAATCGAAATTCCAGTTCCTGATACATTAGAAGCAGAACCTGATGTTCCTTGTACCTGAAATGAAGAACGTAGTAAATTAATAATAATATCTAAAATTATTTTTCATATTGCAACGGACAATTACGACTAAGTCAATTTTCTGCAGTTGATGTTCTAAAAAACCGTTTATTCCCTGCCTTCAGGGTAGGAGTGTAAACATACATACTCTCATGCCTGTTCTCTCGTTTTTTAAGGTATGACGGACGAGATATTTGGGGAGTGACTAATAGAGAGAAAAAAAGGATGGCGATTGTGTGCAAAAGCGAGAGAGATAAAGAAACAAGTTAGTTTCAAGGATACACGCCCGATGCACGATTGGTGTCTGGATCACGCTCAGCCAATTAAAAAATTGGCACCGGTGCATGTGTGTGCCAGCGATGAACTTCGTGGATAATATCCGCGGCCATTTTCATGGCAGCAATCAACATCATCAGCAGTGTCAATATTAACATCATCAGCAGCAGCAGCAAATAACAACGCATGTTCGGGCACGGTAGTTACTTAAGTATGGCTGTGCATATTGCTGAATCCTGCGTAATGATGTTACCGCGTGTATATATCGATTATACGTAGCAATGAAACATATTAATATTAAGCGAGAGTCACAGTGCTTTTCAACCGTTCTAGATCCTTATTCTGACGTTAGCGTCAAGTGCAATTAATGTGCTTATCCAATACACTGTTTAGTCATCGGACTATTCCCGCTTCTTAAAGGAGGATGGGACAGTCATGAGGGGTATGAGGTAAGGGGAAAGCAGCCTATGCTTTAACATGGGATAAAATCAATGCTACTAACTTTAAATAACTAAAATTTCATTTCTCGTTTTATATCATTAAATGCGCGTTCATTAACCGACGAAAATGAACTATTATGGAATAAGTTTTACTTGGAATATTTGTTAATTGTTATATTTTCATTTGTGTATCAAATTTACAAATGTAAAAATGAAGCGAAGATGCGGCAACATTGCATGATTTTGAAAGTTGGTTTTCTCATGTTGTCTACCTTGGCTTATGTATATATGTATACGTGCGTGTATGTGTAGCGTCGAGCATGAGGCGTGGCGTCGCGGCGTGTGTATAACCTCAAAGTGTTGTCATCTTGATGTTGTTGTTGTCGTAACTTTTACAATTGAAAAATGTCTGAATCCGATAAATATCGATGGAAGGGAATATTTGTTTCGAAGAAAGTTTACAAGCGAATGCTACAACGCTCAGAATGTGGAAAAATGAGGAAAGGCTGCACAAAGAAAGCACGAGTAGAAGCTGAAGAGGCAACGTGCACTGTGAAAGGCAATCGTATCGTAGACTTAGCGTATATGTCAAACAATATGAATTGCACTGTTTGCCAAGCAAGATTGGATATTCAATATATTGAAAAAGAAGTTGTACATGGAGCTGCATCCATTTTTAGTATACGATGTCAAGAGTGTTTACTAGTAAATACTGTGACGGAGAATTTCGGCTCGCCGACTTCTCCTTTGTCTCTCTCTCGTCCGTTCGCTACACCCGGGCTGAGAGTGTGTTGATATACACTCTCATACCTGGTTTTTCTTTGTTTGAGGTGCGGCGAACGGGCATTGGCGGAGCTGGAGGCGGCCGACGAGATGGCGATCCGTTGCCAGGATCGTCATGCGGGAGAGCGAGCGAGATGGGGAGAGCGCGAGCTGCGCACGGATCCGATGCGTGCGCAGCCGGGGGGAAGAATCGGCAGTTTTCGTTTTGGGCTGGCCGATCGCGTGCGCGCGTTTGTTTTCGTTCGTCGCCGATTTGGATTTCTCGTTGGGTTCTGGAAGCGGTGCGGTGCTTCGCCACGTCGTGTTTTTTTTGTGGATGCGCACCCGGTGTGTGGGCGTGCATCGGTGGGTCTGTTTGGTGTGAGTGGGAGTGAGTGGCTGGGTCGCGCCCAGCTAAGCCTTGCCGCCCAGCACCGGTGTGCGCGGGTGAGAGCGAAGCCCGTACCGCCAGCGCGCGCGCATTCGGCGAGCGAGTCCGGCGAGCAGCTGAGCAGCCGCAACAGCAACAACAGCAACAGCTGCAGCAGCAACAGCAACAGCAGCAACATCAGCAGCAGCAGCGAGCCACAGACGTTGGACGAGAGCGGCCATCTTCGCTTGAGGTGGACGTTGGCGAGGTCGGTGCCGGTTTTCTCTCTCTCTCTCTCCTTCTCTCGCTCTCTTGCATGTCCGAGGTGTTCGCGGGTGCAACGGTGCAGGTCGGGCAGTGATGCCGGCCCCCGTTGCCGGGTTTTGAGTTCGCGGGTGTTTAGGCTTAAGCGGATTATCGGGCAGTGATTGCCGATAATCCAATTAAGCGGATTAGCGACTTTTTTGTAGTAGGCCGATTTGCGAGACGGAGTGCGCGTGCTCCGTCCAGTTATTAATTTGTGTGTCTTTCTTTTATTTTCTTTTATTGTGTTCGTATTAATAAAGTTTGTTATATATATATATATGTCATACGTTACTGCGTCAACCCGTTCGTTTTCCGATTTTCCTTTAATTCGTGCGCGATTGGCACACACGCTCGGTGTGCCATTCAGTCGTGGGAGCATTCGTGCCTCCCGAACCCTCCTTTTTATAAATATTGTGCGGACGGCCGCGAGCAAGCATTCTAACGAATAGTCGGCTTAAATAAATCCGTTACAATACTCTCAAAAGTAGCGAAGAGTATAAGAATTCTGTTACAGGAAAAAATTTGTTTGCTATCAACACAAGACTAGCATTAGGTATTTATTTATTCTTTAAATGAGTGTGAAATTTTTCTCCATAAAAAAAAATTATTTGTATTGTATTACAATTGTATATATGTGACAACATATTCTAGATATTTGAATGAACTTTAACGATAAAATGTTTTCAGCTGCTGTACACACAGGAATTGGTCATACGCAAGTAACTAAATTCTTTAGTGTGTTGGATATACCTACAATGGATTCAAAAACTTTTAAAAAACATGAAACAATCATTGGGCCTGTCATAGAGGCAGTTGCAAAAGAAAGTTGCTCGGAGGCCACCGCCATGGAACGTCTGCTAACTGAAGAAAGCATTGATGAATTAAAAAAGATGTTGTAAGCTAATCATGTAATAGATAGCATCTTTCACTCGTCAGCAGTTGCAGATATAATATATATAAGATATAATCAATTGTAGTAGATAAAATATTCGAATGCTCTCATTAATTTTACTGTACATCATATTTTCTTAAGATTTATTATTTTTCTTGATTTATTGAAGTGATTGTAATCTACGTTCTAATTTTAGATTTTTTTTATATTCAAATTAACTTTTTAATACTGAGATTTTTTTGAGTAATTATATTCCATATATTTTGTTATATTCCAATCTACACTTGAATCAACGTACATACATTATTTTTTTATCATGTTATATCCAAATCAATTAATATACTACACAATTTGTAGAGTGATTGTATGTTACTTATTTATATGCACTTTTTTTAACTCTGTAGATTATAATCAATGTACATACGACGAGATCTTTTTACCATGCTTTCATAGGGTGAATGAGTATTAGTTTAATATAAATAATATTAAAACAATCATGTAAATTAATAAATTAAAATGCTGATCAATGCCCTATACATATTGTTTTAGTTAATTTATTTTGTTATTATTATTTTCTTCTCGGGCCTGAAGAGCTTCAAGAGGGATTTCTTATTGTCAATGTAGATTCTAGTCATACTGAGAAACCTCTCGTGAGAATATTTGTATCATTTGATATGGGCTATGGTCTGAGAGGCACAGGTCATTCGTATGATAGTCTCAATGGCTATTGTGCATTAATAGGTTTGAAGACTGGAAAAGTTCTAGATTTTTGTACACGTAATAGAAAATGTCGAATCTGTGACCTGGAACTTCATACAGGAGTGAAGAAAGTACATGACTGCAGGAAAAATTTTATAGGAAGCGCAAAGGCGATGGAGGCTAATGGGGCTGTTGAATTACTGACACAAAGTAAAATATTAAAAGAACAGAATGTGCAAGTTGGTGTTTTTATTGGAGATAATGATAGTTCAAGTATTGCAGCTATTTAAAATGAAATTGACTATACTATTGTAAAGCATTCGGATATGAACCATACGTACACCCAACGTGGATTGAATCGCGACCCCCCCAGTTAGGTTGGTATGAGAATTCCGTCGTTGCATTGAACGAAGAAACCGCGGGAAAATTCAAAAATGAAAATTCGTTTTAAGATACGATAAAAAGCTAAAACGTTACTAATTTGTTTTTAGGTTTAAAATTAATTGTTTGCCGAACAATGAATTTAGATGCATGATTATTTGATTTTAGGTTTTAATTATATAATTTAAGAACGAGCGTTATACTATGGCCAATCTGAAAACCACCGTTACGGACTAAAAGCAGCACTCATAGTCTCATACCAACCTAACTGGGGGGGTCGCGATTCAATCCACGTTGGGTGTACAATAACTTAGGTACCGAGCTATATCGGATACAAAAGCAAGGAGATCCAGACAAAGAGTTATCCGGTGATATTATCAAACATATTCAGCGCTGCTTTTCATATGCCGTTCATCAAAATAAAACTATTGCTAATGCTATCGATGCTGCATTGAGAAATGTACCACATCATTTATTTAACATGCACAACAATTGTGGTGAATGGTGTAGATATAAAGAAGGTGAGGAAAATGACGTAGGCATTGTTTTGAAAAATCCATACTTGTTCGAAAGTTTGGACAAATTGTTTAACGAATTGGCAGATACTTCACTCAAATTTGTTGGTGCTGGGAGTAGTCAAGCTAATGAAAGCTTAAACAATGCAATGTGTCACAAAAATCCAAAAAATTTATTATTAAGCACATCTGAGTCTACAGATTATCGTTGGGGTGCTACTGTTGCCGAAAAAAATTGTGGAGCTTCATACATTCAACGTACTTTAGACAAAGAAGGTATAAACCACAAACATTTGTTGAATAAATATGTAATGAAAAGAGAAAGAGATTTAGAGAAAAAAAGAACCGAACGTGTA